TCTCAGTACACAACCCCGCCCCTTCGATAAAAAGCAGACACAATAGTTTGGACGTTTGTATATATTATTGTTATTACTTTTATTTGTTCTACTCGTGTTCCCCTGTCGTTAGATCGTGTTCTGTAGTTATACTACAAATTAATTTACCTTTGTGTGACACACATAGAGGGCAGACCGAGCCCCACTTTGACAAGCGCTCAAATCTTAGTATTGCTCCCCTCTGTAATTGGATTGTGTAGGTCAGGTAGCAGTCACAGCGTATTGACTTGTTCAACCAAAACTTGACTGAACAGTAGTTGAAATTATGTTATGAACCGACAGTTTGTTAACTCTCAATGTAGGTAGCGTGAGTTTAAGAAACTGACAAGCCCACTTAGTGAACCGAGTAATCCTCGCGACTGGCATTTAATCATCTCCGCGCGAAGTAGAGGCATTATTACGCGAACGCCAAGTCACTTAACCTTTGCTCAAAAGGAACCCCCGAACACTTCAAAGGAATATTTATGTTCAGAGAATTTTACGATCCCGCAGATGTAGCTGCGTAGTCTGCGTACCCTCTCTTTTAAATGATCGATATGCGTGCAAATAAGCAGGGCCTTAAGCAGAAGCATTATTCTGCGGGAGAACGGATGGGCGCCCGGGGCGCTCGCACCGCGCATGCGCCCACCGAATTACACCTCCCACCCTACCAAAATATTATCCCGTTTATATTGAAAACAACACGCAAATTGCTGCTAATTTTATCTTAATGTTTTATATCCGATTTATCGATGAAAAATTATTTGATCGCTTTCCGTTAAATTCTTTTGGACCTTTTTCCGTTTTAGCACTTATTACCGTTATTAGGGCATTCGATTTCATGGTTATAGGCAAAACCGTGAGGTTAATCTTATTATAAGAAAGCATTGCAAGTTTGCGAGACCTGCTTGTCGTCGATACTAGTATTTGCTACAGTAAAAATAGACATGAACGTCTAGGTTGCTTTCATTGCTATTTATTTAGTGTCAAGGAGCTTCACTACGATGTGTGGAAAGGCCAGATAAACTATTTGATATCTATATCGGAGAAAAAATATGTCTGCAATATGGTGACCTATAGCAATAGTTATGAATCTTTGTTCCATAAAAAATTGACTTACTAGTATTAATATACTAGTATTATTTGAAATAGTTATAGAAAGATATGTATATCTGCTGTATAGTTTGTTCCACCAATACACCAAGCCCGTCAGCGTGGCACAGAAATCGAATCATGGGCAACAATGACCGACAAATGATCCGCTTCACTGGATCCAAGTCACAATAAAATGACTTGTAAAAAAATATAAACTTGATAATTACACCTGCTCGATAGATACTGCTCTATGGTTTCCACAGCCAGTTATCATTTTCGAAAGTCCATCCGTAAAAATAGATTTTGGAAAAGAAATATGTAATTTTTGACCTAGGTTCTCAATTGTTAGTCTTTTGTGCCAATGAAGCATTTAAAAAGAATGTCAATTCAAACGATAACTTGGTTTAATCTTATCATTGTACCTACTTATAAATTTAATAATGAAATTATCTTCATTTAAAATATTTATTACCTAATACGTAAAGGACGATTTATTTCCTTTTTAAGCGCATTGCACTTAGTGCTTGTAGACTATTGTGACATTTTTTTTAATTTTAGAGTAGTTTAATTAAGTGTGGGAGAGCCATGCTTCGGCACGAATGGGTCGGCTCAGAGGAGCACCGGAGTGATACCACGGCCTCACATAAAACCGGCGTGAAAATAACCACTGCGTTGTGTTTCGCCGTGCGAGTCAGGTTACCGGAGGCCCAATCCTTCCCCTTCCCCAATCCCTCCTCAATCCCTAAATCTCCAAATCCCTAATCCCTAAAAGGTCGGCAACGCACTCGTAACTCCTCCGTTGCGGGTGTCCATGGGCGGCGCTGATTGCTTACCATCAGGTAATCCGTCTGCTCGTTTGCCGACCTATTACATAAAAAAAGATATGAGAGAATTTTTGAATTTGGAGCTAACATTTCGTTTGGAAACCTTTTCACCTATGTGGTCTGGTATTTTTTGAAGAATTAAGTTCATGTCTGCTTCAATTATTTCCATTTGCCTGCATTTTTGAACTCGATGTGCAGAAGACAAAAATGTTGAAAGGTACATGATACCCTATTGAAACATAAGGGTCTGGTCTCGTGTTTGAAGATCCAAGTCAATAGTTAGCTTTTCATCGATACTTTGAGTAGCAGTGAAAGATCATCCCATTGTAATCCAGTCTAAACTTCATTTTAAATGTCAGATCATTAAAATAGTTTGTATATTTATGTTAATTATTTACTTGAGATCTATTGACAATGACAATAAAGTTTGATGAAGAAGGACCTTTCAGATACCTATAAAAATACTATGTATTCATCTCTATTTAGATAGCAGAAATACAAAATAAATAGTAATAATACATATATATTATTTTGATACAAATGACTTACTAGTTCTCCATTATATCTTTGAAATGAGCAGTATATTAATTCCAATGTGATTTCTCATATTTTCCCGTTATTCATATAAATTAATGGACGCTCTTAATAAAGATTAAAAGTGAACCTATTAATTTCATCCAACTAATCCATATAAGTTTATAAACGTCGTCCGCTGAGGTTAAACCTTGTATAAACCTTTAGTTAATGAACTCGTTTATCTAAGCTCACGGCCGTAATTATTGTCTCACTGATTTATTGATAAATATAGATATATTATTTATTATACTTACCCAGTCGCGGCAACAAACTAATATTACTATTTGTATCAATGAAAAGAATATGTACTTCTTCTATAAAAACAATAAACATCATAACTATAACGTACAATGTTGAACAAATTACTTATTCAAAGAAAAATATGTTCGGACCAATCATCGTTTCTAATAGCCGTGTTAATTCCCTTATTAATTTACCATTTCTATTCGGCGAAATCCTCTAGACATAATTAAAGCACGGCGCCAAAGTCTACCTGTCGGTGTACCTTTGCCCGCCGCTCTATTAGACAATAAAAAAGTTAATGCCTATACGGGCCTGCAGAGATGCGGCAACTTCTCACAGTACCCCTCGCCCCACCCCGCGCACCTCTAACAAAAATAAAACAACCTTCCAAGGATACAACCACCGTAATTTTAAATTCAACATAACAACACGATATTGGCAGGCCAAATTCAACATTGCCACCTCGGTAACAACGTTCAAATTCTTTACATATCCATTCGCTTCTATACTATCACAACTTTTAACTTAATAGAAACTTTGTTTTCTTTCAAATACAGTTCATTATTGCACGAAACAGTAAAAATAAGGTTGTAGACGCAAAGGTAGGGAGAAGAGTAAAGGGGGTTCATTAATCCCCGCGCCCTGCGCGCACGCACTTTCATGAATGGACCGAACAGGTTGATGTGTTTTAACTACAGGATGATTCTAGTTTATTTAGGAATGATTTGATTTGTAGTTAACTTTATTCGTTACAGCTTATCGCGAAATGTAAGATGTAAGATAACAAAAGAAAACATTTCAATATTTGTTCATACGAAAATATCACGTAGGCACATTTGGATGCATTTATTCATACCGACTAACGGAGATAATAAGGTCACTGATCAAAATTACAAAACAATGTTTTGTGAGATATCGCGAAGTCTTCTCCGACTTCCAAATTGTGTGATATCATCATTTTCTTTGTATTGAGATAGTGGGTACAGATGACACTGTTGGTTCTTAATTATTTCACATTTGTCTTTCATAGCAACTAGTGGTTATATTGCTAATCGAATATTAATTTCTAACTTCGACATTACTGGATTCCTATTTGTTATGACTTGCTATGTCAAAATCATTCTTGTTGCTATCTTCCCAAGACTACCATAAAGCTTTATCTGTGAGTGGGCAGTCTGCAGTAGCGTTAGCGTGTGTGCTATGTGGCCAAACAGGTCGTTCCACTAACATCCTGTGCATGGAAGGTTCGAAGGAAGCGCCGCAACGTCCGGCCGCGTGGATGTAGCGTGATGCTCTTTTTCCTTTTCGGTTTGTTTTTTGTTCATCTCATTTATTTATTCCAATGTAATCTCTTCCAGTTCATTTTTTATTCAGTCGGCCTTCAGTGTTACCTGTGCCGGGACGCCAAAGCCTTGTCTATATTATCGTCTTAGCACATTTGCTAAAGAAACGTTTTGATCAAAATATCTGGTGTTTCTTCATAACTACTAGTGCCATTTGTTTCATTTCTGGTTGTATTTGTGGACATGTGACTAGTGTCAACTGATATCTAGTGTTGGTCTTGTGCATTGTGATGATGGAACTTCCGCACTATCTGCTTCTCTTGGCTCGGACTTCGCTGAGTAACTTGAATCTCCTCTCGATGGAGCCTCCACAGTCGCCCAAGTTTAATGTGCCTCTTTGGCAGCCATGGGTTTCATCTCCTCAAAAAGGTATCTAGAACAATATTGATTATTTTTTTTTACAATTTTGTTTATTTTTGAAAACTCATTTTTATAGGTTTCTGATAGTCCTAGCTAAACTTGTTTATTATATTATTGCTGGATTTATTTTGAAAATCAATTTATTATTTTGTGGTCTGTAGCTACAAAAGTGCCATTTTTGTAAATTATGAATGAAAAGAAACCAAACACTAATTAACTTTGCAGGAAAGCTTATATTTAACTGAGACCTGAGATTGGGCCTAAGGGTTCATCGCGGTATCCAATTATTTTCTGTTAATTACGTGTGTGTAAAATCTTAACTCCCAAGAGTATTATTTATTATTATAACTGAAGAATATATTTTATACACTTATTCAACCCCAATCTTTGATAAAATTTTTTTGATTCTGGATTAAAAATACCCAAGCAATTATAAAGATCGGTAGTCTAGTTACATACATTATTAATTTATTACCCTTGTCATCATTTTAAAACTCTTCATCGTCTTGAAAACATGTGCTAATGGATAATTTATTTTCAGAGACTCCAAGCACTGCATCCAGTGGCGAGTCTGAGGGTGATCGCACTCTATCTCCTGAGACGCCCCGAGTGCAGCCCAAGGAACTCACTGGCAAATGGCGCAGGGAGAGACGGAATACTCGTCTTCCGGATTACAGGCCTAGGTAAATAATAGATAAATGATATCTGTAAACATAATACTTAAATTCTTGTGGTTTATTCTTAGTGTATAAAGTATACAGTTCCTAAGCTCACACCTAAATTCTGGAAGCTAATATCCCACCAATTTCTAAAATAACCATGCTGGTAATTTACTTCTAAAACAGTAGCCGATTTGAACGACATTCCATTGGACCACAAAAATAAAACAGATTGCATCTTCCGATTTAATTTCCATAAATTAAATTCGTTTCCAGGGAGAACGGTAAGATGGCGCTCCGGTCGCAGTCTTTCAATGAGCGGCGCTGTGTAGCGTCTGTTGCGCGGGCGCAGCCGCACAGTGATGGAGAACTATCGGACGAAACTGAAGAAGGACCCGCTAACTTGGCAATTAATGGAAAACGTAAGTACACATTAATGAAAACATTTTTATATTATTTTATTATGAAGACCGGTATTGATAATGTCACAATAAGATGCTTGTCGACTGTCGTCAAATCTGTCAACAGATGAATGTAGCACGCCTCTAACTCAAACACCACAAAAATTAAAAGTCCTTTAATTTGTGTACCGTCATGAAAAAACTGAATCGATTTCAAAGCAATCCCATTTCGTGTCCTTCACAACGATTGTGGAAACCAAACAATAGCTTAGTTCCCCGGCCATGGAAGTTTATTTAACGAAAAATAAACTAAGTAGGAATTGCCGAGTAAACAATTTTGCTAGCTAAACAATGAAGATGTTATACAACAGCCTTGATTGGATTTCAAACTTCAGCGAAATGTGAAACTAAGTCAAGGACATGATAGAGCCGTGAGACGAAGCCAATATAAAACTTCTTACTAAATCCGATTCCCTACAAATCCTAACTAATGAAATTTGTTGTTCTAATCTCTTCAAAAACGGGTCTATCTAGTATAAGGTTTATATTTGGTGTCTGGTGTCCATGATATCGGTATAAAGGCGAGGTAAAATGAAGTTAGTGCGAAGCCGCGCGGTGGACAATATCACATAAGTATATTTACTAGATCCTTTGAAATACAGAACGTACAAAGGACAGGCCTTTCTTCAACAGATAAAGCGCCTTAAGTACTTAGTACAACCTTCTTTCAAGATTTACTTTATTTTGTTTTATTATGGATGCAAGCTTCTGTTTGATTGGTGTTCTAGTCAGTTGATGGAATCCCTAGAGGTTTCTAAGTCAGGATTAGCAAAGTAAGACGAGAACTGACTAAGAATTATGTATTCAGACTTAATTGGTCTATCCTAGGATTATGATTTAGGGGAAATTCTACTTTAATTGCTTGTTACATAAAGTACTAATTAAGTTTTATCGCAATTTTACTAGATCACTTTGGATAAGTACCTATATACTTAAGTTTAAACCGAGAGTTAGTAGGTAGGTATATTGAATTGCGTGGATATAGAATGATAAGCTTCATGCATTAAGGCTTGTTGCTAATCATCATGTTATGTGCGGCATGTAGTGGAACTTCCGTTCCGGTGCTGCTGTTCTGAATAAATCCATTTATCAAATTACAAATGAATTGTGATTGCCTAAATAGGAACTATGAATTATCATCGTAAAAAATGTTTCTTATCACAAGAAAATGTGAATCATAAAGGCTTTTTCGTTTGCTCATATTTTATTAACATTTTAATTTTTCACAGTTTGCTTTATAAATATTATAGTAGATGACGTCAATAACGTTGATGCGTGAAGCCTTTATCATCAGAGCAGTTCTTATTACTGTTAGTCATTGGAAATCGATATTAAATGGTACAGAAGTAAATATTTTTACCTGCTATAATATGAATTAACCAGTTTTACTGTTTGTTACAGGAGCACCTCCAGAATACCCGGGTGGAAAGCACGAGGCTCCGATTGACATGCGCCTGCGATCCCGGCCCGCACCGCCTCCATACACGAGGCCATCTGTCATCACAAAGAGCAATGATACTCCACCAGGTAAATAACTAACATTTTTATAGCTATCACGTTAAAAAAACACATTCATTGTTTTTAATTAAGCGACCTCATTATATCTGACTTATTTCTTAAAATGATATTTTTGGTGAAAAGGTTTTAATTAATTGCTCATTTGTTGCATCTTTAAAACCTAACGCTAATTTCCCATGTTTTTGCCAGGTTCCATGTCGATGTGCGATCCGGTCATCGATGAACATTTCCGGCGTTCACTGGGCGACGACTACATGAACTTATTTAAGAAAAACAACCCAGAAACTGCACAGCCTACACCAAAACCTAACATGAAGGACCGAGCGAGCAGCCCTATACAATTCAAAACTGAAGAGCTCCCGAAACCAACAAAAATAATCGCAATGGAGGTAGACGACGCGAGTATGTCTGTAGACGATCACTTCGCAAAGGCGTTAGGCGACACCTGGAGGCAAATACAGACTTCAAGATTAAAAGATAACGAAAAAGTACAGCCAGCGAGCAAGGGAGGCGTCGATGACCACTTCAGTAAAGCCCTCGGCGAAACGTGGAAACAAATCCAATCGTCGAAACTCAACTTAGACACAGATAACGAAAAACCTAAAGATCAAACGACGAAAATTATTTCAAGGAGCGGAGTAGTAATATAATAACGGCAGTTAAGAAGCTAGGTGGTTCGGTTTACGGCCTTGTAAAATTTACGAGGCATTTTCATGATACTAACTGGAGTATCAATAAATTCCCACTTGTTTTACATAAAGAAAGCTATTATTTTGATAATGGGTACGAAGTGTGTGCCAGTTGTTACGGTGCCTTCACACCTGGCTGGCGGTACTTACCAAAATGTTTATTCCAATATTTTCTGTTCCTCGGTATGTTTAGAACGATGTCGTTACTCTTGGCAGTCGCCATTGTTTATCGTAAAATGTTCAAGATAACAAAATGTCAATAACACGTTATAGCGGTTAATAAAAACATTGTAAAACGTGGTTGGAGGCACCTTTATGTTTAATAAATATCGAAATCCATGACAATTCTGTTACCTTAGGTATTCTGGTAATATTTTTGTATTGTTATTTAATTGTAAATGATATATAAATAGTCAATTAGTCACCAGTTACACATTGTAAGTTATTACCTCAATATGAGCGCTTTTGCACAATTCACTAATAGATTTAAGAAATAATGTTGTAAATAATAGTCATTGTATGGTTGAGAGAGTAAGTAAGGATATTTATGAAAGGAGATATTTAGATATGGTTGACTAATTGTGTTTCATTTCAACATTAAATGTTCCTCGTGTGAATGTGTGTGTGTGTGCAAGTAAAACTTCGAATGTTCTGTAATGCCCATCGAAATTTTACCCACGTGAAGTGTGAGTTATCGTGTCAGAGTGTAGATACTTTATTTTGATATTCGATTAGTGTGTGTATGAAGAGTAACTAAGTAGTAAGGAATGCAAATATAATGTTTATAAGCTTGCTGAGAAAAATATTATAGCAATGTTACTTTGTTTATGATTTAGTTGATTGATTGTTTTGATTTTTACTCACTATGCACCGTTCTCAGAGTAATTTCATGGGTACTTATTTCCTTCCTTGACGTTTTCATAACTAAGTCGTTACTAAGGAAGACTTAAACTAATCATTTAATGTCTTTGAGTACAGCATAATGAGTAATCTTAATTAAAATATCTGTAGGAAATTTACTGAAAATATTTTTTACTCTCGTGAATTATCTAATTGAGAAAGCCTACTTCCAAGTCTCATGGGACTCCTATTCATAAGCAAAATAGTACAGTTTTCTCAATTGTGTAAATCATTATTTTCAATAAATTTGTCTTACGATAGTAACTATCTCATGAAAACTTGAAATAATCTCATTGTATCTCTCTTTAATAAGTTTTCTCTCTTTTTATGTTGAATGATGTTGTAAGCACGTGATATGTTGTATAAACGTGTTACAAAGAGCGTAGTTGTACATTAAATGTTATTATTTTTCTCATCGAGCTTTTTATATTTTGATAAATTGGGGCAGCTGGCTGTCCCCTATGTCCTACGATTTGGGGCCGATTTTTCAATAGTCAGAAAAATGTTATCTGAGTAATAAAATTGTTGCTGTCACTGTTTTATACAAACATTTTGACGCGACAGCATTATAATTAATCCGCTGATAACTTTTACCTAACCAATGAAAAATTAGCCCTTAGTAATATAAATATACTTCAGTTTGATGAATGTAAATAACGTTTTCCTATTTATGCACTTTAATTTAAGTATAAATAATGTCGTTGAAGACGAGCAAATACACATAGCCTTTAAAATTATGTGTTTTATTTTTTTTATACACCAAATTTCACATTCAATTTACGAACTGCCTGTAGATAGTTGGCGTGCTGGCTGGTAGTAGGTACCTATCTATAATGTAGGTACAAAATATTATTAATTATAGTTTTTTTATTATATCTCATTTGCGTAGGTACCAATTTGCGTTTATGGTGGTTAATATTATTTTATTTTGAAGTCTTTCTAACCTTTAAAACTTATCGCATTACAGTCACTGTAATATATGGTTACACTGTTTGATACTTCTTATGGCAACAAGTATGGACTTATACTATAAAAATTGATAGATAGAAGTAGATGTAGCTAATAAACAAGATACCTACTTTACTAAACCCCGAAAAATACAGGTAGGCAGTAGGTCTCGCCCATCCCCCACTTTTTCCCAATTATCTTATTAAGTCCATTCAGAGACACGAATATAAATATAAATAGGTATTATAGGGAAAGTATCTTTTTTCTCTGTCTGTCGCGTTGTTGCTAGTTTTTAAGCTATCTTTTTTATAACAAGCTAGAGTAATATAGAGTAGCAAGCATAGTATAAAATTTAGTCGCCCGGTTCCTATCCTTTGTTTGCTTAAATCTTAAAGACTACGTAACGGATCTTGTGTGTTTATATTTAATAGATAGAGTAATTAAAGAGGAAAGTTTACATTTTTATTAACATCCACCAAATAGTGAACAATTATCGGCGTTGCACCCTTGCAAAGCTGGGGCGACCTGCTAGTATAATATAATTTGGCAGCCAGATATACACATATATAGTATATTAATGTAAACAAATGACTATCAAATAATATCTACGTACCTATTACTCAGTCATAAGCACTTCATAAAACGTTTTATTTTTAACACACACGACTAGTCCAGAACTGACAATTCAAAATTTCAACGCAAATAATTCTCAAGTATCATTCACGAAGTTATTTGATGACGGTAGGTATCTAATCCTATCCGGGAAAGGTAAAGCGTAGACGGGACCTATTGTTAAGTAAATTCGTAAACCCTATTATGAAGTGGGACACGGCATTAAGTAGTACTTTATACAATGTTACAATAGCCCAGATGATCTCAGTTGTGCGTGAATTTGGGGACAAATATGAATAGCGTGTTTTAATTACTTTGTACTTAGATGTACTCAAATGTGAAACATCTATGACTACATAATATGTACATATACCTACACGAAGACTTTTTTTGGCAGGGTAATATCATCCAATGTCTTCTCCCGCTCAGGGTAAGGCGAGAGAGAGTGTCAGACTCTTACTGACTAAAAACCCCCCCGTTCCTTCTCCTGCTCTGCACCGAGGTCGTGGTGCCTCATTGCCTTACCCCGCAACCCCGGCTGAACATCAGCCCTGTTGGGCCCCTTCTGTGGTGGTTTATTGTGTGGCGCGGAACGCTACGCGCCGTACGCTCGGGTCTGGTTCTGGTCGTTCCGCAAACCCGCGCTTACGGTGACCGGAGATCATCTCTCGACCTACACGAAGACTAGGATGTTTGCTAATTAGGGGACATGTATGCACCTACTAATTTCATTACGTAAATTTTTTGTCCTTACCAATTCCAGAATATTGTTTACTAGCTACCGCAATTAATTTATAAATAAATAATTAACTAAGTAATTTCATGTACCTACAACCTACTCTCCAATTCTACCTAAAACATTCGGAGATCGGAGCAAAAAAGTAATTTGCATAAAACACGCAATTAAGTGTTCTGTTGTCTCTCCCTGAGTTACCTTTTCAGCTAATTATTTGGAACAGACTTAAAGGAGAGACTGTCCTTCTTTAAACATCTAATTTAGTTATACAAATTAACATAATTGCACCCAATGAGGAGGAGTACTTAAACAGATAGGGAAATTAAACAATGGCAGTCTGAAAACAGTATTTTAACCAATACGTTGCTGACTTAATTTAATAGAAAATGTAACACATTTGTCAATCTATTTTATACTTTACGCATATAGAAAAGAAACACATTTTTTATTGCGACGACATGATGTTACGTAATGTTTACCATTACTAGACAAAACATAGGGTTAGGTTCGTCTTACGTAACTCTATTCTTTCAGACTTATAGATAGAAGAGAACAACATTGATTAGAATCCAACACAATTAGGTAGATGCTTATTGAAACAACACTAAATGCAGCCATAGAAAAAATGGTTCAACTGGATGGAATTTTCTAGTGACGTCAGAACCCTGGTGCTTAGGTATTGACCAGTGGTTAGTAAACAAACATGCTACCTAACGACCACTACTAGGGTGCGCCAGGCGAACATAGGTAGCGAAGCACCGTGGCACTTAAATATCATTACTTGAGAGTTACTGGAGCTCTTTGTACTTCGCCATTAGAGTGACAAAGATGGACCTACGCAGCTAGTCCTAGTAAGTGCCTGCCAACCTAATTCAGTCTATGTTTTTTTTTCGCTTCGATTTTCAATTCTTTGTCGTGACCAAAAATATTGGTGTGCCAGTGATAATAAAAATAATAATTTAAGTATGATATAGGATATGGCTACGTTTTTGGTATTAGGAGAAATCGAGTAAGTAGGTTGTTACATTTGCGTTTTAAGGTTTCTAGGCATCCATGCCTAACCACGACTTCTTCATATCAACATCTCCCATCGTATTAATATTGTCAACGAAAAAGTAGATATAGATGAATAGATAGATGTTTCGTGTACTTACATATAAACTGTTGAATAGATTTTGATGAATTATAGTCTGTAATGTAAGAGATGGATTATAGTCTGTAACAAAAACTTCTTTTCATCCTGGTAGCAAAGCCACTGACAGAAGCTAGTATTGTATACGTAATCCGACCCATAAAACCGTCATTAGGTTCGTTCTAATTTTAAAAGTCTCACATGTTCGTTATTTAAATGTTGGTATTTATTTGAGTATTTATGTAAAACAATTTCTTATTTCCGTTTGAAAATAACATTTTGTTATTTAATAAAAACTTAGAGAATATATTTCCAGGTAATAGCGCGTTGGTACTACTTTACACTTATCTTAATTTTATGTAGCTACGGTAAAAAGCTTTGTAGAAAATTTTGCTCATAAATGAAATTGAAGTCGGTTGTTAGTGTTGTTAGTTGACCTACTTACATATGAATAGTAAAAATCGTCTTTGTAGCTAACTAAGCAAATTTCGTTTTTTGCAGTACCTACCTACGTGTGAAAATTTTTATAAGTACCTATCTAGTAATACTTATAAAATTCTTGCGTCATAGTGTTAGTTACCTTACTCATCCTCGGAAACGGCTTTACTGATTTTTACCCAATTTTATGTGCATATTCAGAAGCTCTAATACTATTTTTCTCTGGCTGCTGGCTGTTTTTCATACCTCTAAGTAATAAGGGCTTTCCTTCTGATATTCTATTATCCTACAAATATTATAATTGTGGAAGTTTGGTAGATTGTATGAATGTAGGTATGTTTGTTATTCTTTCACGCAAAAACTGCTGGACCGATCTGTTTGAAATTTGGTATGTAGATAGGAACCAGGAAGGGTTAACACATAACAATGTTAATTAGACACTTTTAATCAACATGCCACGCGGGTGAATCCGCTGCCGGATCATAGTAATTTAGATGGCAAAACAACGTTTGCTGGGTAGTATAATCTTAACTATTCAAATTAAAACAACTCTTTGAAAACAAGCTTTTATAATTCCTGGAACTAAACACTTTAGAGACGTTTTTTATGGAATTAGAGTAAAGTCCATTTAGCTTAACTTACAAAAACGTAACTTATAAAAAAATTCCGCATTCGGTCGAAGATATCTATCTGCTTCATATTATTACCTAGTTTCCACTTCACTGTACGTGGGTACATACTTAGTTACAATAATTGTATTTTTTTATATAATGTAAATCCTTTGGGTAAATACAGCAACAGCAAACTATAAAATAAAATTCTTGTAAAAGATAAGCCGTCTAGTAGTAACTACAGCTATATATTTAAGGTGACCCCATTAGTACGTACAACGTTGCTTATTTGCTAAAAAAGTACCTAAACGTATTTACTCATGTTTTATTCATTATTATTCCTACAAGTGGCGTTATTATAATTTCTAGCTATGTTAACTAAATGTACGCAAACTTTCTGCATATTATGAAACTTATTACTGGTAGATATTCATTTCTTTGAACAAATGGAACATACCTATCCATTTACAAATGACAACGCGTTCCATTT